TGCGGGTGGGGGTGGGGCAAAGGGAGGGATAGATAGACAAGAATGAGAGGGATGGGGATGGGGAACAGGAAGGGACAAACAGAGATGAGACAGATAGAAACAAAGAGATAGGGAAGGAGAGAGGAGAGGAGAGAAAGAGTTAAAAAGATAGAGAGAGAAAGTGAGAGGGCGGAGAGACTTGGACCCAAAATTGGAGAGATACAGAAGGGGAGAGTGGGCGTGGGAGAGTTAAAGAGATAGAGAGGGGAAATGAGAGACAGAAAGAGAGAGAGAGAGAGGAAGTGGGATAGGAAACAGAGAGGGAGTACTTATTCTCCTTACGGAGGGCCCTGTTGTAGCAGTAAGTCATCATTATACGTCAATTGTAATTGTCTGCCCGAGCTAGAACCCCAGGTGTGCAAGATGCAGCAGTATTTTTGTCACTGCGGATGTATTTTAGATAGTTGACTTCCCGCCCTTGAAATGTCATCGGACAGAAATGCCATAAAAACAGAAAGCCGGTGTGCTTCATTGATCGCCGTCTAAATCCACGTGTTTCGGTCTGGCAACATGGGACGGCTGTGTTTTTTCTGCCGTCCAATTAACTTGAGACATTTCGTGATTGTAATGGTCGATTTGTCTCATTGTTGCACTATTTGAGAAACACGTCTGTGTTCATCATGAAAACCAAAAACGGAGACGATGTGTGACACGTCTCACACGCCAGTGTGAATAGCATTTCGGTAATATCAGGGCATGTCAACTCATTGTGGATGGAAAATCCAAACTGATCCAGGTCTCAGAATGTGCCGTTGAGGTGAATCCAGAGAGCGCGGATATGGTGCTGTCAGATCTGGAAACAATACCACGATTCGAACCCACCATCACCATGCCTTGGTGTGCCCAAGGGATTAGACTAGACATTATAAGCACAGAGTGGTGTTTTACAATCGTTGTTTTGTTTTTGGTGCTGTCAGGTCAGATAAGCATTCTGACATTCTACGGAGTGAAAGTACGTTTGTTTGTTGTTTTACGCCGCACTCAGAAATATTCCAGCTATTAGGCGGCCGTCTGTAAATATTCGAGTCTGGACCAAACAATCCAGTGATCAACAGTTTGAGCATCGATCAACTCAGTTGGGATACGATGACATGTGTCAACCAAGTCAGCGAGCCTGACTACCCGTCCGCCCTCTACGACAAGCACGGGTTGGTGAAGATCAATTCTAACCCGAATATTCACGGGGGTGAATGCAAGCCTTACTGTTGTGCGATGTTGATGTGACGTCATCCAAACACGCTGTGACGTTATCCTTGTGATGCTGACTTGGTATAACCACAGAAAGGTACTGTGCGATACATTTTGCACATGTTATCATGTGCTCAGGATAACATATACTCCGTAACTCGGTATGCGTGGAGAGTTGCGCCCCTTCATCGTGCCAGACACCAACGAGCATGAGACATATCAAAGCCTCCTCAGACGTCTCATCTGAGACACAGCTGTTGATGAGACACTGATTTCTGTTGCTGTAATGGCTACATGTCTGTGACTTTTCATTTCTTTTATCTCTTTCCATTAATGACGCGTACAACCGTTCCATCTACAAAAGGTCCACAAGATTACTTCCAGGTAACACTGGACAAAATTGACTTCGTGAAACACATGGCAATTCATAGCTGACAAATCGGTGCACATCGGTACCAGGACCCAACAGGACCATGAACACTTGATGGAACACAGGTACAGATAGAACACTGAATACAGGAAAAAAATAGACTCCATGGAACTCATGGAACTCAAAACTCATCCGAGTACAAATCAACATCACGAAACACAACATAGAACATAGGTACAGACCTAACGGAGCAAAGAACAAAATACACTTGATGGAACACAGGAACATGTAGAATTGACGAAATATAGGAAAACAAAGAAGCTTAAGCGACGTAAAGGACTTGAGCTTCATACAACACTAAGACTTGTAAAGAAGTCAAGGTTGCAACAGTCATGACCTTAGGGAAGACTTTAAAGCGTTTTGTGGTCAACACATTGAAGACAATTCCAAATTTGATGGACCAGTGATAAAAATGTCCATATTTTGACTTGTATCATACGTAATATAGTTGAAAGTGGCGTCAAACAAATAAACAAACAAACACACAAACAAAAGCTCATAATCGAACAGGAACTGTACTTTTAGCAGAGATATCCAAAGGAAGTGGAGAACGTTTTGTCGCTATTACTGAAGGAAGAAATGGGAAAAAAGGAAAAGGCCATTCCATAAGGAACAAATATTTGGATCAAGCACTGTTTTGAGTAAATAAATGCATTTAACCTGACAAAATACTGACATATATCTCAAGGATGTTGTACGTCGATTTCTATAAAAAGTAGCGACAGGAATAAGTCCCCTATAAACCAAGACGTGCCTTCCCAATCTCTAGTGTGTAAAATTACTGTTTAAGCGTTCCTCATGTTAATGTGTTCTTCACATTCCCGTGTGGCGCTTGAACATTGCAAAACATCATCTCTTTAGGTTAAATTCGATTTACAAACGAAATTCAATCTTTTTTGATAAAAAAGGCTATTTGGTTTAAATGCATTTTCTTTTGTAAAAAGTTCACTTTAGCTTCTACAATTTCACAACCTGACGAAAATCGAGACGGAATAATGACTTCACTCCAATCAGAGCCTAATCACCGTTCGAAGGAAAAGCTTTCTTAACATCCAGATTTGTTATATCGACTAACATGGTAATCAGACGCAGAGGAGAACAAACTCCGAACCCGAGGGTCTTTCATATATTCGGTTTTCTCCCTTCTACAAAAAGACTTGCTCAGACGTTGCTGTCAAAAACCGATCCTAAAATACCATCGCCTGAAGTACCATTGTCGCATCTGCGCGTGCGTCATAAGTCACGTGTCACGAAGGAAAGTAATTGCTTCGTCGCGTAAGTTTGGTACGGTGTCGCGATCGCACACTCTCTTCAGGTATGGTCTGAGTAATTCAGTGTACGCTAGGGTTGATGCCTCTATCATGAGGTAATTAATTCTTGACACAGACTGCCTGGAAACGGAGTGAAACCCAGAATACAATAGTGTGACATTATTACAACTTTGCTTTGATGTCCGTTACCGCCATTCCGTCATTTGTTGTGTAATGTTCATTCCTAGCGACACAGACACATGTAATGGATTTGAATCTGCAGTGAATGTCAAGTCGGATTTAGTTCAGAGCTGGGTTGTAACTTTTCAAAATATTTACGAATCTTTCAACAATATCAGCTGTCTTGATTTGAACTGAAACGGTTTCACTGTATCAGCGGAACAAATGAAATTGTTCGAGGCGACAACAATACTGCTGTAATACCATATAAACTTTAGACGTTCGAAAGAACTTGTACGTCACTATAATTCTCGTAACAATCCAAAACTATATGTTATTTCATAATAACTCTATTTCTTCATTACATCATAAGGGTTAAGTAAGATGCACAGGTCCATAAAATCAGTATTGAGTATCAAATTAAAGATGTCGTATAGAACATCACCCAAATAAGGTAATTCGCGTCTTCATTTGTTTGTCAAACAGACAGTACTCTGATTGTCCTCTTATAGCGGGATGTCAGAAAAACACGATCCAGTGGTTTAATGCAAAGAAGATAGCAGAATCCCACGGTTACCTGCATCCCTACAGAGTATACCAATTCGAGGAAGACAGATCCCCAGCGAGGAGAATCCAAAAGCTCTGTGCTTTCTTCTAACCCATGGAACACCTTCTGGAGACAGATCAGATCTCCAGTAAGTAGAATCCCTCAACTGTGTATCCTTCTTTCTCTTCTGTGGAATTTTATCATATTAGCTGCAAGCTCAGTGAACACTGAAAAGGTCCATAAACCCCATGTTTGTATTAAGAGAAGACCAAGAATTAGATTTGAATACTCCCCGATGAGCTGAGAAAATGGTTTGAATTCACATCTATCCGTTGAACAGAACGATAAGATAACACTATCTACATGACCGAGTTTGTGAATGCTGCGCAATATCAATATGGATTCACTGCATCTCATTGTGCCCATAGTAACCGTTGTTCTTGTAGCAAGCACTGGTTTTCATGACCAACACTCTTTGGGGAATGGTGTCACCAAACCTAGAACCTCTCTTAGTAACATCACACTTGGTGAAACATCTTTCTTTGACTGACTGACTGAGTTTGGTTTTAAGCCGCTTTTAGCAATATTCCAGCAACATCACGGCGGGGGACACCAGAAATGGACTTCACACATTGTACCCATGTGGGGATTCGAACCCGGATCTTCGGCGTGACGAGCCAACGCTTTAACCACTAGGCTACCCCGCCGCCCTCTTTCTTTGACGAAAGGTACAGGACACGAGAAAAGGTTTGGTACAAAAGGCCTACCCGGAATCATGAGTTAAGTGTGGATTTCAATGCCACGTTCACAGATTATGATTCCTGGCGTTTGTCTGACACCATACCCACGGTCGTGGGTTACTATAAATGGTAAACGTCCATGGCCTGCATCTCTTGGGTCTTTCCTCCAACTGACGCATCTATTAGATAACTGACATACGTTTTCAAAACAGTGTCTTATCCAGCAATCGTGGCCCTTGACCAACGAGTCGGGGTAGCCCAGTGATTAAAGCGAACGCTCATCACATACCAGGTATAAATAAACTGACGAAGGTCGGACATGTTTACAAGCCTATGAACATGGGCAATTTTCCTGAGATCATAACCACTGTGAACACGACCATTGGATCCTGTCTTGGATAAGGGAAGCAACTGAGTAAAGCGAATTCCAATGCATTAACCCTTTCCAAAATCGGAAAAAACAATACAAAATGAAAAGAAATATAATGTAAAATATAACAGTAGCGGTACTGCTTAGAGAGGCGGGTCGTTTACGATGGCTCACACTTCACCATGGTAGTGTCCAAGACAACACGTTGTGCGCCGTTACCGTTACGTTACAACACGTTAACAACAAAACACGTTTAAGCGATTTATATCACAAAGACTTTTAATTACAAAAATATCACATGTCAATTTTAACATTTTGACAAATGTTGCAGATCAAAAAACATCAAAACTAGTCCAAGCATAGATATGAACTCTAAAGACAAACATTTTTGTAACTTGACAGTTTTAGTCTCGGGTAAAACGCGTTAGTTTCAGCAGTGTTTCAGCAATGTTTCAGCTAGCCGACACTCCCAGGATACCATTACACAACACCGTGAGAGAGAAACCAGTGCTTCACGAGTCGTCACTGATGGTCTCCATGGCGACACCTCATTTCAAACACTTTGTTTACAATCACGTGATGTATATAGGACAATGTAGTTTGAACGCTGTTGCATCCTTATGTCGAATCCTTAAAAAGATATTTTACAAACGGTTCGGAACATAACCAAGGTCATGAGTTCTTGGCATTAACAAACATTCATGCATCCCTTTCTATTGTTATCAAGGGAATTCACAGTAACAAACACCAGAAAGGTAGCCAAAATAAATCCATTATAACACATACAGGATCATACAATGGGGTCATGAATACAAGCGTTTCTGGAACACATCAGACATGCAGGATGCTGGAATGTACTTTTCTGAACACCCTACTTCAACCATTGTGGAGATCTTTACTTTCGTCACAAGGCGAAAAATGAAGCGACGTTATTTACAATGTCAAGGTTACTGGTCACGTGAGCAATGCAACCAATAGAATGGAGAGATATAAATACCACATAGAGAGCTAAAGGTACACTAGCCTTCTATTACGACAAGGGAGATTTATCCGTTTTGGGCGCCTACAAAACTATGAAATTATACCGTTATAAACACATACACGGCAGAATACAGAACATGTGAGATGAATGAATACTTGTATATACCTACTTAAACACCATTGATGAGTAAACCCTCAATGAAACGTACACTCTGATACACTGGTATATTTGTGAGAGTTTAATGTTGACACTATACAAGCTTTGATATATCAGACATTTTTAGGCGTTTTTAGTCATTTACTTACATCTACGTACAAATAATCGTCCAAATCAAGGTCTACATGTGCCATAATCGTAAACACTACATAATTTAGTGCTGGCAACTTATTATTCCTTGTATGGGGATGAAGGGTCTCTGATATTCCATCGCAAATAATTTTGTTCTCAAAATAAAGCAGCTTCAAGAATCAACAAACAATCATTTTCCAACTCAAATATATTATTATTTTTCTTCACTCAAATGCAAATTTTAGAGCATTTCACCAAATATCTATTTACAATACATAATCAACAATGTCATAAAGTACAATAGATTATCGCTGTTTCATGGAGTTGTGATCCAACGATGTTCAATACACACTTGTATATGAGCAATGATAAACACACGTTTATCAAATAAACCAGTTCACACTATACAATATAGTTCAGTCAATACAGATGAACAGATGCTGAGAATATATCACCATATTTACGGCATAATGCAGTAAATAACAATACAAATTTGACATTAACAAAACAAAAACTACTTTCTTTAAGGACATGAGCCTTTATGCTTCACTGTCCTATGTTAAACACACGACCGGATACAAGGGAAAGCCAACTGAAGGACGAATTGCCCTAATATAATTATAGCATGATTTCCTATCTGTCATAAAGGGGGATTGAGGCCACCGAAACGACTGTCCAGCCAAATGAACAGATGCCCCTTGGGAACACAGACCGATGTTTAATGATAACATGGCGCTTTCCTTAACTAACCTGACATCCGTGGTTGAAGAAGAGTCAATGACTCTTGTCAGTGGTAACATTGGTTCATCGCTTATGTGGACAAAGCGCCGATACGGCAATCGCTCATTGGTAGATTCGAAACAGATGTGGAATTATGTCTCAACTGATCACGTCCAAAATCTTATTGATCAGCAGTGTTAGGAACGTTGCAGCAACCCATAAAGAAGACCTACACTGGCATTCATGTGATGAGTAACATTCGCCATCCGTAAACCCGTCCGTGAAACAGCAAGCCGGGTTTTGATGATGTTGGTTTAGACACTTGTCGGTGATGTATACTTACTCCAATGTATTGGTGTATTTGTGCAATGTACTTTGTGTACTTCAGGACCACGTATCTGTGTTTAACGCCACACTCGCGCATGTTCCTGGTGTAGGACCAGGGTCTGTTAATTATCGGAAACAATGACAACCAGTGAACCAACTCAGTGTTCCTGACTTTCCCGATCCATTCCGTCGCTTATATCGACCTGCACAGGTTGCTGGGGCCTAATTCTAACCCAGAATCACCGCTGTCAACCACGTACCTAACGATGCTGATAAATACGTTCACAAGATATACAGACAGTTGGTGGACAGCAAGCAACCGGAGACAAAATAGAGAACAAAGGATCCTCTGCAAAATTGGTGTAATTTGGCAGAGTGGAGACAGAACGTGTGAACAGGAATCTGGGACGAGTAACAAGCACCATTGTCAGCAGTTAATGGACTTAGAATCTGATAAACGTCTTCCATATGACCAGCAACGGCCTCTTAGACCAATGCCCATTGAAGACCTAGACTTCATACTCTCGAGACAGCGTGATTGAGATGATGTAATGAATGACGTCAGATGTCACGTGTTCTGCGTTTCGGTAATGCCTGTCCAACAAAGACATGAATATGGACGCTGACGAGTTACACAGCCCTGATGGCAACGACACTCAAGATGTATTACACATAACTAGTCCTTTGCTAACGGGAACAACAATCAACAACATAATAGAGCATTAGGAACAATGGTATTTTACAATGGATTCGTATTCGAATAGTTTTATAACTCTTTGCACTCTTTTACATGCATATAGCGATGACAAGATCATCCAGAAATAGAGCATTTTTCCAAAATATCACATTCATGTCACAGAATTAGATTCAGTTCAAACACACATTTTCATTCACACTTGGGTCTTCCAGAAGAAGCGTCATGCAATCTCACAAACGTAACATACAGTCTTGTTCAACCTCAGAGCTTGAACAAGCCAAAATAGTTAGACTTAGGATCTCTGGAGACCATGGTGATATTGGAGACCTTCACAAACACTTCATCGCCTTGGCGGAGATGGAACACAGCTCCAAGGTAGCTAGTGTACTCTCCGAAGGCCTTGTTCTGTCCCCAGCACTTTGTGATGGAGTTCTGGATGAGCGTCTCCTCGCCGCCGTGGGGGTAGATGATGTTGTAGCGGTAGAGATAGTGGGACAGGGAGGGGGACTCCGTGCTGTAGGAGCTGCTGCTACCATCACTGTGGATGTTGAACACCTCGAGGAAGGAAACTTGGCTGTAGACGTAGAAGAGGCCGTCGCTGGGAACCACGATGCGGCCGTGGCGGTAGCTGACGTGGTCGCTGAAGGCAAGGTCCGTGGAGTAGATCCAGCTCGAGATGGGGAACTGCTTGCCTGGAACTGAAGAAGAAGAGGAATATATACTCGAGTCCAGACCATACAATCCTGTGATTGAATTCATGATCTTCGATCTCTGCAACTGGGATACGATGACGTGTCACCGAGCCTGACTACAGGCTACAAGCTCGGGTTGCTGCAGATCAGTTCTCACATGACGTCTATCAGACCATAACATTCCAAACAATACGTTCAGATTGTGTCTGTGTACCTTCTCTGCCACATTGGGTCTCCTTTCAACACACAATTTAATGGAGTTGCTTGTTTACATCCGATATCACATATTTTCAGAAATTCATAATTTGTCTATGTAGAATGTACCTTGATGTAAAGTTTATGTTAAGTTTATTTTAAGTTTGCATCAATATATCAACAAATCTGCAGGTTTATTCGCACGTTTACGAGGCGTGTGTTTATTCTTTGCGTATATTGTTTGCTCTGGTAACAATAGTCCATGATCATGGGATAGGGAAAAGTAGGCCAGGTTTAAAGAAGAGTTAAAGAGAAACATCCAAAATGAGGAATCAGTTTCGTGAACTACAAATCTCATCTAATGCTTACAGTTAGTGATACGCAATCAATAAGAACTGTTCCTTGTGGAAACAGACTGTATTTCCTGGCCACTGAAACCAAGCTTCTCTAGGTCACCCAGTTTCAACATCTCAACTACCCAGTGTACTTGGGACAACACAGGCCTATTTACCTTGGGTTTGATCCATACGTTGAACATCCCCCATCAGGTGGGCGGCCGGTCTGTCCACGTCCGTGGCCGAGCCCATGCTGCGGCTACTGGGCACCTTGATATTGCCTGAAACACGAAGAGGAACGTAAGTTCACCACAATCTACAACACCAACGTCCACGTAAGGGTGTTGGTTGGGTAACATGGCTTCGACATGGGTACAATGTGTGAGGCCCAGTTATGATGTCTTTGCTATGATGTTGGTGGAATTATGCCCACAAGCGGCGTAAAACATAACTCATTCACTAATCATAATGCGTTCTTTGAAAATGTACAGTACTTGAGAACGATATACAAACATAACAACCGTTCTTGTCAAAAATGAAAACATTCGGATCTAAAGGCATCCAGATTTACTAGGTGCCACTGTAGAAGGGCGATTGTTGCCTCCCGTGAACTGCCAAACATACTGAGAGTGATGTGCTTTAAATGTAACTATGGTTGATGTTCTTCATATGTAATTATGGTTGATGTTCTTAACTATGGTTGATGTTCTTTAAATGTAACTATGGTTGATGTGCTTAACTATGGTTGATGTTCTTTATATGTAATTATGGTTGATGTGCTTAACTATGGTTGATGTGCTTAACTATGGTTGGTGTTCTTTAAATGTAACTATGGTTGATGTACGTAACTATGGTTGATGTCCTTTTCTATGGTTGATGTTCTTTAAATGTAACTATGGTTGATGTGCTTAACTATGGTTGATGTTCTTTAAATGTAACTATGGTTGATGTGCTTAACTATGTGGCAGCGGTCAGTAAAGGATCGAGTCTGGACCAGATATGTAAGCATGGTTTGTGTTCTATACATGTCATTATGATTTGCTGTACTTTAAGTGTAACTATGGTTGATGTCATTTAAATAGTTAATGTTCTATAAATGTATCTATGGTTGATGTGCTTTAATTGTAACTATGGTTGATGTTCTTTAAATGTAACTGTGGTTGATGTGCTTTAAATTTATCTATGGCTGATGTGCTTTAAATCTAACTATGGCAGCCGAGATTGAGGTCACCTACACAGCTTCGATCACACCTTATCATTAACCTCTCTGCTGGCCATCTACAAAGATGGCATCATCTGATTGGCGCCACGAATTTGAATCTCAAGGGAGCCTGTCTATGATTGGCTGTTCTGAATGACTCCCAAAGGAACACTGGTTTCCTATTGGATGATGTGATTCTGGGAGTCTGGCAAACAACACGCTCAACATTGATTCAGTTCTTCATAATGAATTATCCTCCGTGGAATTGGGTTTTTACGCCAGATTTGGATTGTAACGAATCGTTTTATGAATTTAACTCTTATGCCATGATAGGGGCCATTGTGACTGGAGATGGAGAAAATTTTGCGCACGGAAATAAATTGCTGCATGGTGGGACGAAGAAAAAATACAGGAAATTAAATGGAATTTACTTGCTCACAATGTGATTTATTGCATGTATGCTATTAATTTAAAATTATGTTTCAGATGATAAAGTCAAGTCTTGATTAATCCATGTTAAAAAATCTAATGATTTCCTTCTAGATAATTAGATTTTGATATTGACACAAATGAGGATTTTGTGTTCAGAGCTGTTACTAATACTAACTCATAGGACAAGCATTGTCTTACACAGGATTTTATGTTTTGTTCAAAATAAATATAGGCAATCAATTATTTTCGCATCAAATCACGAGTACAACAGACTGAGATTGAAATCAATTGAGAGCTTTCCAAGACCTGCATTAAAATTGAATAAAACCATGAAGTATCCATGGCAACCAATTTCTTCGTTTTACAAAGAGAAGCCTAACAACGGAGTTTCCCCGAAGGATGCTATCAATTCCTCTATCAGAACGTTGCAATTTGCCTGCAATAAACAAAACTATGACATTGGGGAAAGTGTTCAATCAACAAATCAGCACCAGCGCTGCCAGTCATTAAACCTGGCATTATTACACAAAACTAACATGTATTGGCGTTAGATCGACAGCTGGGAGATCGATAGATCAATCAATACTTGCTGATTATATTCCGCGATCACAGCACTTGGCCTCAGAGCAATACCAACGTGTTTACTCGCTATAATATGCAATCATAGGGTATTCACTTTCCCGGAAGGCAATTAACAGCGATGTGCTAATGTTGTATTTTCAAACACTTTTTCACCCACTGCAAAGGAATCTGGGTAATTTCACAATCAGATGAACGTTATTCTCTGACAAAACTCTCAAAAACACACCGTCTTAATTGCGTTTTCTCGCCTCCGCGTATTTATTCTTACTGACATGCTATTATAACAAGTGTTTCCTGCAAGTTTAACGACCGGGTTCCCTCTCTGCATTATAATGACTCCACGTGGCGAAAGAAAATACCCTCGTAGAATTTGACAAGTGACTTTAAATTGCGACGCAATCAGGGTTGTGGCAAAGTGGGAAAGAAATTTAATCTAGATTTATTTTAAGATGCTTCGCGTGCTATAGCGTCCATATAAGGAGACACAGGCTCTCCTGAAAATTGGCACGTGAGCGAATAAAGGCAACTTTTAAGTGTTCTCTCAACGGGGAGTTTGGCGGTACAGAGACTGCAGATGCCCAGTAATGACTAAAAAAAATCTTAAGAGATCTTTAAGGCTATTTCACTACTATTTTCCTCTAATTAGAACCGTTTCAGGAAATATATATTTTAAATGACACAAACAGACACCTACCTTTTAATACTTTCATTTTATATTCAGTTTATATTCAGTTTATACCTTTTATGTCTCAAAATCGTTACCTCCAAGACGTCTGTTTCTTATTCTGGTGGTTTAGCTGAAGGTAATAAAGAGATGTGCCTATCAATGCCAGTCTTCTCTGCTTAGCTATCATCGCTACACAAACGCATTGAAACCGTAGACCCTTCCTCACAAGGAGATAAGTGAATATCACGGCTGTAATCACGCGCCCATATTACGGGACACGGAAAAGTAAGGAAGGCAGTGAGGTTGAATACAATTCGGACATGATAGAAGAGGCTCGGTCCTTGTCGTTTCCGACTTCAATCAAAATCACAAATTTAATACACTGGCACCGCCATTCAGCAGCGAAATGGATGCAGATTAGTCACAAGGCGTGATGAGATTAAGTGTGCTCAGATAATGATGACGTGACCGCTCATTGCGGTGTAATCTCGAACCAGGGACAGTGCATATTAGCTGTCAACGTTGTGCTTTGATTAGCCCGTAATTACAATTTGGGCGCCAGGTTAATCGTACTATTGACTTCTGTCAAAGATTATAATGTGACCGAGTTTGTTACAGACTTCAGGGCGGCACGCACGGTGTATTAGTTCAACGGCGGAATGGTTATTAGTTCAATAGTCGCGTTCTTGTTAGTTCAATAGGCATTTAGTTCATGTAACAGTTTTTCGCTGAACTAACAGGCACAGGAATGCATACACATGACATGAGGTTTTGAGCAAAAGTTATAAACGTTATGAAAACGTCTTTACGACGGACTAAAAGCGACTATAGGGATCGGGTGGTCAGGTTGCTGATTTGGTTCTGTCTGTCATCGTATCCCGATTGTGTCCATGCTCATGATGTCAATCACTGGGTTGCCTGCTTCAGACTCGATTATTTTATGTCTGCTGTCATATAGCTGAGTGCGACTTTGGAAAAGAAACAAACTGGGTTGAATACAAACGCGAAAGCACTGAAAGATTAGGGACCAAAGCAACTGTGATACCCTATCAAATACGCCATCTTCAAATACCCGTTCTCTTTGGTTCAGCTTTAGCCGCCATTAGACAAAGTTGTATACTTCACTTTGTCCGTCAGTTTATCATTTATTACAACGCTTTTTTTAAAGATGACATATTATCGAATTTATTACATAGTATAAACAATACTTGTATCACAGTTCAGTGTAATGAGTATATATGTACATCTGAATAGCAGGTTTCAGACTCTTGTTTACCAGGATCATTCACCGTCAATGACGTTAATGTTTGAAGTTCCACGATTTACGCCAAGGGTCAACTGTCGTCCAGAAGGCAAACCAGTGGTTGATCTTATGAGCTCCTGAACATATAAAGACACACAGTTGACCAACTCAACGATTAGTTGAGCCAACTCTCACGACAGGCAATATAGCATTCGGGTAGGGCAAGTTTTCTCCCAAACACGGATATTATCCTGACAAAACAAGCATCTGCAGTTTGAACCGGCTCACAGCAGAGAATGGACGAAACTCACACCGCCACGATGCACCTTAGACCAGTGCCACCACTATGGTATTGCGTTAAAACCCTGCTCTGGCAGGTCTGCTGCGACGACCGCTCACCGCACAGTCGTAGCGTCGTTACCGATGATGACGTTGAGTTCCATTATCTCAATCCTAGCTCACAACACCCAATCCAACCCAACGTGGTTGATTAACCGAACAATGGTTGAGTCTGAGATTTCACTCCGATGAGGATGCGAAATGGAGTAACCGTATCTTTCGGCTCGAGTGCTGCTGGTAATCCCCAGAGGTAATCCTGCTTCCCCAAGAGGATAACACCGGGAAACCCAACACTCCAGTCCCCACACTGCTACGGGAGCCAATCTATCAGAAATGACACGTGTTCATTCAAGTGGTTTTGAAATAAATTTGAGCTATCGCTGTGAGTGAGAATCCATGTTTCAGCTACAAGTAAACATTTCAAATACCGTGAGATTATTTCTCCTTGTCAGGACTCGGTGACAGGCGCCATTTCTCCCGCTGCGAAACTCCAATTTCGGATATTTGAAATAATCAAACATTGCATATCTTTTTCAATCCGAGGAAAACGTTTCTCTGTAATGGGGATAGTGTGTTTGAATAACACAATATAGCGATTGGTTGCTGGGGTGTAATTATGAAATGTATTGACTTAGTGTTGAGTAATGCAGTAATAATGATTGGAGAGTAACGAACATGGCGTGCTGGGTCCTTACACCCCGATATCGAATCATGTTCGTTGATGTAACGGTTTGATGCATACTTAAAATGGCAAAGTTTTCAGATACAAAACCGGAACGAAAACACACAGAAGTAACTGATACATTAGTGCAGCTCA